CCCCAAAACCCCAAAACCCCAAAACCCCAAAACCCCGGTGGGAATAGTGTGTATTGGAAGTTATAGGGTTTAGGATTTAATTAAATGGGGTAGGAGAGTGGTGTGGTTAGGTAGGGAGACCAGTGATTAAGATGTTAGCGACATCCTCAAATTTTGAATCGTTTTTGATATCTAGGGTTATAACTCTTAGTTGAGGAGCTGTCTTTTGAGGTGAGATGGGATCCTTTTGAGTGTCCGTTTGAACAAAGCAATGTAGAATGCGTATAGTCTGGTCATCTGAGCATAAGTCAGAAAGCCAATACAGGTCATCTTTAGAAAGGATAAACTTGTGAATGGTCAACTCGGGTATTTCTGATATCATCAATTTCTCAAGCGAACTCTTGTACTCAATAATTTCCACTGAACTAGAGTCTTCATGACAATTCAATTCAACAGAGTTACATAATCTTTTAGGAATTCATTTGTCAAGATATGAACTAAGGAGCTCACTTTTTGAGGGAAGATTAGTGAATCTAAACTGATCAACCTCTATCATTTTCACATTATTTTTAATTGAATCATGAATGAAGTCAATTCATTTCTCGTTTTGAAAATCAAGTGTTATGTCTGAATCTCAATGTATCACTCCTTTGGTCTGAAAATGTTTTTTTCGTAAATTTTCTAATTCAGAAGTAGAATCAGGATCGATTATATCAACAGTAACTTCATTTTTAGTTTCTTCAATGTCGGGTTTAGTATCACTTTCATCTGTTTGATTTGCTTTTTCTGCTTCGATCTTCCTAGTTAGGTTGAAACCTTTATCTATCTTTTTCTTTTTTCTACAAGATAGGATACTCTTGTACACTAACTGTTGGAAAATCTGACTCATTGCTAGCTTAATGTTTTCATCATCATCAATTCTCTGTCTGAGGTCAATAATATCCTGTTGATGCTTAGGGAATGATAGAAAGTCTTTATCCATTATAGCTTTGTTCACTCTGGCTTCAATTTCATTGATGCTGATTGTAATGTTTTTTATTTTTATTGCAGCCTCAGCATAATCATCCTCAAATGAGAAATTATAAAATAACTTTTTTGTGGTAGCCATCAAATCGATGATCTTGTTGATCTGGACCTCCAATACTTCTGCTGGAATCATATGCTCATGATTACACTTGTAATGCTGGTCTTGCTTGCAGTTCATTCATAAAGGAGCTTTGTGGTCACATCAGTACATCACAGATAAGTTCTCTCATTTGATGTGAAATCAAGGGACAGACATTTCAAATATTCCTAATTTGGTTTCAACGGGTTTTATTGGATTATCTAAGCAAGGTCAATGATTAAAACCCAGAAGACATTGAATCCATAATTATTGGTAACCTTGAAGGATTTCGCCACATTTTTTAACCTCAATTCATCCAACCTTTTTGTTCTATTAAAATTCAATTTTCCTCGATAACTTGTCTTTATTGTCCTAAGACTTCATAGAGAGGATAAAGAGAGTTCTAAATAAATGTGTGAAATTAACTGATTGCAGACATTTAAGGATTAATTTTTATTGATTTGAAATTACATGAAATAGCAAGGAATTATAGGTTTAATTGTGAACTTGGGCTAAACATAATATCTTCTTCTTTAAGAGACAAATAAATCTTTAGTTTTAACCTCAACACACTTAGATCCAGCATATTTATCTAAATACCTTCTCTCAGATGGTCAATCAGTCACAAAATGTTAACTCAAAACTGCACTTTTTCACTAAATTTTGCTACTTAAATTATTTAACAAATTAAAAAAATATTTAGACTGTTATCATTCTGACCGAAGAAGATATACTCTTTGATATGACACTCAGAAAAGCTATTGTACTTTTTCCTTTGCTCATGAGTTGTCAGAGATAGGCTACTGTCGCCACTGGACAGAAATAGGCAATCAGATATGGAAATATTAACATATTTCTCTGTGTATAGGGTAGAGAGCCATTCAAGGTCAGATTCGGAGAAGATAAACTTGCTCAGATCAGGATAGCAAAGGTTTTGTTCTGATAGTTTCTCAATTCAGTTCTTGTACTCTGAAAACTTTACACGAGTTGTTTTAGAACCTCCATTCATTATGATAAATTAACTCCACTTGCCAGAGATTTATTCCTCAATGTAGGAGTTGAGCAGCTCGCTACTATCAGGAAGATTTTCAAAATGAAATTTTTAATTTTTGTATCTGGATCATTGAAATATTTTTCATTAAAACATTCAAGATGCCAGAAGAATCAAAAAAGCTAAAACGAAAGGGTCTATTTTCTTTAACTTCTTCAACCCTCAGCCTCTCTGAGTCACTCTCAAACAAACTTTGACGTTCACAAAAAGACAACCCTCTAATGACTCACTGCTGGTAAACCCAACTCATCAACAAATTCAACTTCTCGCCTCCATCAATGTTCTGGCTCATCTCATCGATCTCTTATTCAAGCGTCACGAAGGCCAAGAAGTCCTTAGTCTCTACAGCTTTGGCTACTCTTGTTGTTGCCACTGTAATACAAGTTTTGACTTGGGTCATAGCTTCGAGCCCTTCCATGTTCTCCCCTCGGAATGCTGGGTCATTGGCGTGCTTGTCGATGTTGAGAAAAAGCTTGTAGATCTGGTCGAGCTGAAGCTTCAGTGATTCTGGGTGGATTATATCAACAGTTTTGTATCTGTAGTGCAGAACGTGCTTTCAAAGACTGCATCAGGGCACTTTGTGGCTGAGGCAATATTGTTCAGAAATATTCGCACAGTTTTAGCATTAGCAGGGGTTTTGGGGTTTTGGGGTTTTGGGGTTTTGGGGTTTTGGGG